ATATTAATGCAGACGACTCATTTCTCTTTCCTCTTCCCCTGGTCTAATCCATTTTAACCGTACCATTGACACTTATCATAAACTGTGCTTCTTACCTCTTATTCTTACTCTTATCGCCCATACAACAAACTCCAGTAAAATTCTGTTTGAGCGACTCTCAGGTCTTGTATTGGGATAACTATAAGAGAAAATAATGTTAACGATCTGCCGATGAATAGTCTCATATCATTAGTAAATATCTATGCAGATGATACCACGATGTATGGATTCACCTCTAAATATCTAGATAATCAGCGCTTGGCAGTTGATATCTCCACTGACCCAGATCTGACGGATCAAGGGCGGGGCATATGGCTTTGGAATGCCTTCAAAACCAATCTAGTTACATTTTATTGCCGTCGAGCAAACACTGCATTTTTTCCAGACATGATGATTGGTTATACTAACAATGACGGTCTCTTGCTTGAATGTCTACTGGGACACAGTTTTACGCCAGACTTCAGGTAGATCTCACGAAAAAAGTCCAACGCTAAAGTTACTAAACAAAATAGTCAGTTCTTTGTACCTATCCAGGAAGAATACTCCTACCAGACTCCATTTTTACAAGAGTCAGATAAGGCCGAAAACGAAACCTTGCTGCAATATCTCTGCTGCAGCTGCACAATCCCCTCTTTCCGGGCTTAGCAGGGTTCAAATGACTTAAGCGCTGTCTTATAGACGCTAAACTATTTTCAATTATTTTCCAAAGACGAAAAATTCCAAGTCTATCGCTATTTATATGGAAAATGATCTAACGAGCTACATTCTCTGACACAACCAGTTCAAAGATTTTACAATTATGAGCCCTAATGCTTTGTCTACAATGTCGAATCGTTCCCTTCCCGTCCATATTCCATTGGTAAGAAAGAAATTCTAATCAGCTTCTTCCCGAGAACTGCTATTTTTTTGGTGGGGAAAAGACTCCCAAGCGGACGTTACTCGAATTATTACAATCTTAAGTACTTCAAGTGTCTATTATCTATCCTAGATAGCCTCATAATCAGTGCTTACATCCTCCACGCGCGTCTATATATCAACATTTTTCAGCTTTTGGGGATTTTATTTGGTGAACATTAAAAAAAAAAAAGAAAAAAAAAGAAAGGAAAATGTTGTTGCTGCGTTGGAATCCCTGTATCGTGTTTCTCCATAGTTTAAAAAGGAGATTTTGATTCCAGTTTAAATGTCTCCTAAAAAGAAAAGTATCTCTGTTTAAGTGAACGCAACGTGATGAATTTACGGAAAAACTGGCCGTTATTTGAACTCAGCTCGCTAGTCGTTCGTTATGCGCCGATAACACGTTAGCTGGCCGCACATCCCTACTGTCTTTCATTACCCCTTCCATTAAAACCGTCTCTTAAAATCAAATCAACCAAAAATATTCGGTCTGACATTCGTCATTGTGGCTAGAAATGTCCTTGATGCAAGTGTCAAGCCAACTTGCACACCTTGATTAATCAGGTATAAGCAAATCGTTTATCTCTTGAAAGGCATTCTCAGTTTCTGTCTATATTTCTGAGATAAGATATTGTAATTATTAATACTATTTGAATTTTTCGGACTGTTCTACTCACCTTTATTGCGATATTAACGGCGTTTCGGCAGTCGTGCGCTCCGGCCTTCTTCAGATGATGTAAAATACCCCTGTGGACTAAATAAAAAGTACGGTTCGAAATTCCAAGAAATTTCACCATTTACACAAGAATTACACAAGAATTGTCTATATTTTTTGAGATTAGATTCTGTAATTGTTGACATTATTTACATTGTTCGGATTGTTGTTCTCATCTTTGCTGCCGTATTCACGACGTGTCGGTTGTTGTACGCCTCGGCCTTCTTCATGTGATTGGAATTTGGAACTGGACTATTTATTTCTTCCTCTGGAGTAGATTGTTCTACTTCCACATGCCATGCCTCTTCCGGATGTCTCGAGTTATTGTTCAGTTTTAAACCAGGTATTGAACTCACAACTCTTTGGGTCAGGCCACTGGATCTAACCAACGTTTTTATCCACTGGACCATGTGTACAACGCCTGAAACGTCGTGAATATGACAATAAAGATGAGGACAACAGTCTGAACAATGTAAGTAGAGTAAATAACTGCACGAGATTGTTCGGCATTTTACGTCTATTTCCGTTTACCTCTCGCTTCTTCAATAGGTGTTGTGATTGTCCAAACATACCAAGTGCATCGGGTGTCATTTCATTGCACTCCAAAATATTGTCTTTATTTATGTTTCAAGCACCATCCAAAGGTACTGACAAGGATCGTGTTTATTAATTTCGCTTATCGCACTGGAACCATTGTTGCAACGTGATATGGTCGTAAGCTGGCGACTGTTTGAAATCATCTGCAAATATTTGGAACTCACATTCATTAATTATAGATTTTACTAATATCAGTGTAATGAAGAAAAGTGTTTGTTGGGAGCTTATTGTATGTTATTTATTGATCTCCCTTCTATGTATTTTCACCGTATCAATCAATCAATCAAGGCTGGCTTCATTCGCAATCATAGACATTATAACTTCACGATCCTTTCATAAGCTGCATAGCGTTACATACGGTTTTAATTCAGAGTTCTCCTCCTAGATTAAATACCAACCAATTCGGAAGAGCACAGTCGGTCATACTATTTAACCCATAGATGCGAGGTTAATGGATTCATACCTTTCCAAAGGGTATATGCGCGAAAGTGAATGCAATGAAGCTCAAATGGAATGCAAACTCGGCTCTCCGATTTCTCATGTGACGCTATCCGTTACATCACTAGCACATGTACAACAGCCGTCACGTCGTGAATATGACAATAAAAAAGGCAAAAATCCGAACATGTTATTTTCATAATAATAGGTTGGTATTTTTTTTTTTTTACTTTGATATTTATACAATTAAATGTATGCTTTTTTTTTTTTTTTTTTTTTTGTCTATCTACCGTGACTCTTCAGGATGTGAACAATTATGGCTCTCCACAGTGTCGTATCCGCTGTAACTCTTACTAAGATTTGTCATTTCCCTTTTATCTCAGCCTGTACACCTTTGGCATTTATAATAGAATCGTGACAGTTGGCGCAGAGCATTGTTCGTAACATTAAAAATGAATCAGCTCTGAGCAAACAGTCCCTCAGTCTTTTCTACAAATGTTTTCATGACAGCTGCTCTGACGAGATTTTCTTCCCTGGTAACCCGACTAAATGAAATTTAAGTATGCAACTAGATTGGCATCAAGGCCTCAACCTTTTACTATTGAAAAATTTAAATGCAACCGCCACTTCTACTCCGACAGGTTCTTTTCTCGTACTTTCAGTCCGTTTCATTGCTTCCCTGATAACCTCTATCTTTACAAATGTTAAATGCAATGTCAGTAGCCATCTTCTATCCTCTTAAATCCTGTACATCTTTTATCCGTTCCTAAATATGCTTCTACAGAGATGGATATGCAGTGTGATAGGTCCTAATCTGGCATCTTGTCTGCAGTCACTCTCTCACAGACGTGCTGCGGCTTCCCTGTGTCTTTTCTACAAGAATTTTCATGGCAACTGCTCTGACGAGCTACTTTCTCTGGTACTCAGACTGCATGAATTTCAGCGTGCTACTAGGTTGGCATCTCGGTCCTATCCTTTCACTGTTGAAACGGTTTAATGTAGCCGTCTCTTCTACTCCAACAGCTTCTTCTCTCTCATTTCGCGACAGTGGAACTCCCTTCCTCCTATTTGCTTCCCTGACAACTGTAATCTTCAAATATTCAAATGTAATGTCAATCGACATCTTCTGATGCCTTGCTTCTGATCCCCGTCCTTGTCTGTATGCTTTCCTCAAACACCCTACTTTACTTGTGCTCTCAATTTCTGTAACCCCTTGTCCGATAATGGCACCCACGCCTTGCTTGTGTTGATAGCTTAAGAAAAAAAATATTCAGTGTTTTCTCTCATTTTCACTCTCTCTAACCCCCCCTGCGTAATAGTGTCATTCTCGCCTTGCTTGTGATGAAATGATTAGAAAAGTCATAGGGAAGCGACGTTACTATGCTGTGAAAGTGACTGAAGCCGAGATGCCAGATCAAGCTTGATAACATTACAAATTCTACTTTGTATTTTATCAAGAATCTCTAAATGCACCGCAAACGCACTAAGCCAGATGTGGCAGCATTATTCAATGCATGGACGAATGGTAGACCTATAAATGTGTCAGATAGATTCAAACGAGAGAAAATTGTCCAGCCCGGCACTGTAAACCGACCTTCCTAGCAGAAAACCTAGCAAGTGATTCAATATAATATTTTATATATTTAACTATCTGTATATAGTTCCGGGGAGAGCTTAAAGTAATAGATGAACTGACATGAACTTTAAGCAGTTTTTAGATAATTTTAGTACATGAATAAAAAATAAAATTAAATGAAGCATTTCGACTTTATAAGTGGGAGAGATTTATTGCGGCTGCGATGCTCATGAAGCGAAATCGGTCGTTGGGGTTAATCTCTGACGGCCACTTTAAACGGTGTTGATCGAATTCAAAAGACGAACAAGCAATGAAAGAGAAAAACGAGGTATTGATCAGCGCACCAGTGACGTTTATTTGCCTCACCGTTGCGTCTTCGATGAAATCCCTGGGATATCATCTGCGCGTACATAAAAGTATATTTTTATAATTATGTTAGATAATGTTCTTTCATTCGTATGAAGAATTACCACCAATTTGTAAGCAATGCCCTGAGTTTTGATATATTTCATCGATCGATGGAAAAGGAAAACGTTTATATTTTAGTACATTTTTATGAGTTCAGTATGGCTTCCTGTTTTGTTTTGTTTTTTTTTTTTGTCTTGTCTTGTCTTGTTTTTTGTTTTTCTTAGATGGGATCAATTATCCGAAAAAAAAAAATCTTATCCGAATAAATTGCTATCTTCTCATCTCATTCGCTTAACCGGCGTTACAACCCAACATTCCGTAACCTATTTAGGCTTGCGGCCACATACCATTGAAACACCGACTCCTGTACGATCACCGAAGTTAAGCAACATCTAGCCTGGTCAGTACCGAGATAGATAACCGTTTGGGAATACCATATGCTTTAAGCTTGGGTGTGCGCGTGGTGTAATGGAAAATGGCTCGGAATTGTTAATCGGAGAAACGAGTTCTAATTCAAGTTGGTTTCTTTATATTCATCTACGTGCAATAACACTTGGGAAAGGTATGAATCCACCTCTTCTCTCCCCAGCTATGGGTTAATTATTAAGACTTGTATCACCAAACTATTATTATCTAAAAAAAATAACTGTAGATGTAGGAAATGAATCAGTCAATGTAAACTAATAATTTACATCTATTTTGAATAGATTTTTATTTTTAATATAAACTTCCTTGAGAACGTACTTAATTCAGTGGTGTGTATTCATCGCAAAGTTATGACATTATACAGTAAACATTTCAGATCACAGTAAATATCCAAATGTACTATCAGTTGTGCATTGATATAGTGTGAGTCAGTCGAAACACATTCCCGTGGGAAGCTGATGTGAATTATCGAAGGTCATTCCAATTCTGTAATTGTAGAGACATTTGGTATCACTCAGAATACAGCGTAACATCTAGAGAAGTAATACGTGATGAAAACTAAAACTACCCATCGTGTAATGGAATATGTAAAATATACCAGTAGATATTTTATCGAGGATAGAAGCATAGTTAGTATCTCTGATCTGGCATGCAATAAATCGTCTCTATCTGACTTTGTTGATATTACACATATTTTTTTTCTTTTATTGACAACTAGTTCCCATGTTTATAAATGGTAGCCATTTTTTATAATTTCGCGCTTAACTGAGGTAGGCACTCTTCATATTTTCCCTAAGGTATGTTTATTATGAATTCTTCAATATATTTTTACATTCACTTGGGTGTGGTTGGCACAGTTTGGTTTGATTTTTTTTCCGGTGGGTGATTAATCTGTAAAAGCACATTAAATACCGGTAACATATATATATATATATATATATATAGTCAAACCTAGAGAGCCAGACAAACCTACCAAGGTTTCATCTGGCTCCCTAGGTGTGACTAGGTCTGCTTTACTTTTGTATAGCACTTTAAGTTAGTTGATTACTCGTATCGTTTTTTTTTTCTTTGGCCTTTAGACCTGTATGCTGTACGATTATTTTCGACACACGTTCATGTTCCTAGCTCTTTCTTTTTTTAAAACCCTTTTTCCCTTCGAGACTGATTTGACCATTAGCAAATCAAGAAACCGAAGGTTTTCCGAGACGAGTATAGTTACCTATATACCTATATATATATATATATATATATATATATATATATATATATATATATATATATATATATATATATATATATATATTAAATTTTCTTTTAAAGATTTTTCTTCAGATATGACGGACAAGGCAGATTTTACTAATTTTTATTCAGTTTTTTGGGTTCTTACATTTTTTCCTTTTGTGAGGTGATATCGAATAAAAAAAAAAAGAAAAAAAACTGATTTTTTACACTTTGCGCCAAAATCAAAGGCAAAATTTAATTTACTTTTTCATACTTGAAACTGCTGATCAAAGGACTCAGCAGCTGAGAAGAAACGCCTCTTCAGCTGCTGCTGTGCGTGAGGCTGAAACAAGATTGAGAATGCAAAAAACGGCCGTTTTCAGGGCCACCCGCCATTCAAATTGTTAATACCCCCCCCCATTTGGGGATGTGCTTTAGTTGCACCCAATTGTTGTTACTAATATTGATTTTCGGGTAGGCTGGATTTAAACTTAAACTGCTCCAAATGAACGGCAAAATTTTCCAATAATGAAAGACCCGCTTCAAGACGGGTTATACTGCTAGTATAACGCAAACGCCATTTTTTTTTCAAAGATTTTATCAACTCTATAATTTTTAAATATTTTAAGCATTCTAATATTTTATTGAATTTTAGGTACTTTGCCTTCATAGTCTTACTTACGAAGACGCTTGTTAGGAAATACTACAAAATTACCAATAGATTTTCAATCAAAGCGTTACAACTCTTAGTTTTTGATAATCTTGTATATAGACGTCCGAATTTGAAAAATCTATACCTTTGTATAAACATTTTTTTAAAAATACGAGCGGCAGCTGAATCGTATGAGCATTTCCATTTAAATACAATTTTAATTTAATAATATAAATTATGTTTTTATTAAATTAATATAGAATTTTAAGTTATTTAAAACTTTATAAATTAAACCAATTAAAATTTATAAAAAAATGAAAACAATTCTTGTAAAAATTCAATATTTATCGAAAAAAGTGTTTTTTGCCAGACAATAGTGCTCATAACATATTTTATTCTTAAAAGCAATTAAAAAAAATTCTTATTAAATAATGTCTTAGTTTTATTTTTATTTTGCAATTTAAAGGCAGATTTTCTGTAACTGGGGATCCATTTTGGCAAAAATAAAAAGATTGATGATTTAAATTCTCCGAGGTGTTTGTCCTTACAACTAATTTAAACATTAAGCGTTACAAAAAGACTTTCTCGAAATTTCATAAAAGTAAATAATTGAGGGAGTTAACAGATGTAAAAAAAAATACTTTTGGCAAGATTTCTAAAAAGAAAGAAGAGAAAAATAATTTAATTCCTCTGTGAATATATCGTGAAAGTTTCATTAAAATTCGACAATTATCTGATTTCTGCAAGATTTCCAAATCAATGTTTTCATCGCAATGTGTTTTCAGACGCTTAAATTTCTAGTAGAAAATTTTTGACCGCCATGTTGAAGACATAAATATTTTAAGAAAAAATTCGAAGTTTTCTGAAAAGGATTTAAAAACAATTTTCCATAAAAAAAAATACATGGGCTTTCCTCTTAATAACACAAATATTTTGAAGGTGACATTTTGTTTTTTATTAGGTTTTGGGCACGTTTTAATCATATATATTTGAATTGGTAGGCACGGAGTAACGGATCGTGGCTCGGATTAAGAGCCGAATTCGAATTCCAGTCGAATACATTACATTCACTTACATGCTAATACCCTTGGGAAATGTATTTATCCTCTTCTTCTCCCTCCTGTTATGGGTAAATAGCAGGAGAGAGCGGGTTTTATAGACTTGTATGGCAACTGGTCTACCGCAGAAAGAAATGGCAACTTGCTGTGGGAAAAAATCTGCCTCGTCTGTCATGATGTATCGATGATCGCCTTAGCGTGTATCACGCATGGCACATAACTGACTGATTTTTGCATCTTTTTGAAAAATATTTTTAGGTAACTATATATATATATATATATATATATATATATATGAATAAAATGACAATAGGAAAACTGGTAATTACTGACGCGTTTCGTCCAATGTACTTTTCAAAAGCAAAATACGAAAATTTTCAGCAATTATCAGTTTTCCTATTGTCATTTTATTCATAAATATTGTCTTCTACTGGTTAAATTGGAGAAATTTTCATATATATATATATATATATATATATATATATATATATATATATATATATATATATATATATATATATATATGTATTATTTATTTAAAATTGTAATTTTAAATAAATAATTATTTATAAATTGTAATTTTAAATAAGCGCTCGGGGGTGTTATGTGATATACTGACTGCTGACAAGTTGCTTTTCAGCTTGTCTTTGTATCTTAGCCATACATTCCTGTAGCCCTGATCTAACTGGCTGTACATTATGATCTTGGGTATCCTGTCATCAGACATTCTCAAGACAGGACCAGTCCACCGTAACTGAGACCGTATGATAAAAGGTTCGATTCCTCCAATATTACACCTGTTAAACAGGTCGACGTTAGATGTCCTATCTTGAAGCTTAACTTCAAAGATTGCACGCAGACAGCTTTTATGGAAAACATCTAGCAGGCGTATCTGGTACCTGTATGGAGTCCACGACTCGGAGCCATACAAAAGGACGGCAAGTACAACAGCTCTGTAAACCCGAATTTTCGTATCCAGTCGAATACCCCGCTCATTCCACAAGCGATTGCGAAGTTTGCCGAAAGCACTGGTAGCCTTAGCAATCCGATGCATGATTTCATTATCTAAAGTTCCACTGTAATTGACTTTGCTACCAAGATAGGTGAAAGACTTTACATAGTTCAGGGGTTTGTCTTCTACTTTCAATGGTCTCTCTGGAAATTTGTAGACTGGTGGTTTTTGTTTCTCACCACGCAATTGCTTCGGAGTAGGAAAAGGTTGGTGCACAACTTCAGTTTTCTTTATGCTAAGTGTAAGACAAAATGTTTTACATGCAGCAGAGAAAGGATTTATTAGATGTTGGGACTCCTCAAATGATGTCGCTACAAGAGCCGCATCATCAGCAAACATCAAATCACGAATAATATGCGTACGAATTTGGGTCTTGGCTTTGAAGCGCTGATAATTGAAAACACCAGTTGTTCGAAAGTGAAACTAAACGCCACTCTCTGTGTGTGCATATATATATATATATATATATATAGAGAGAGAGAGAGAGATAGAGAGATAGATAGATAGAATCGTATGTTATCTTGTGAAAGGCGTATATTTTTTAGGAAAGGAAAGGTTAAGAAAGGATAGAGCAATGTGAGCACATCAGTCGCTCAGTAGAGTGTTTGTGATTTAAACTTCCACCATATATATATATATATATATATATATATATATATATATATATATATATAGAGAGAGAGAGAGAGAGAGAGAGACAGACATCCACAGATAGACTGTTTCACAGCTCAACAGTGTGGCTAGACTACTGACTGCCTCAAGGCTGATCTGGTAACAGTTGGATAGTTTAACCCTGAACCGGTATGATGAGGGTAAATTTATACATATTTATTTTTAGACGCCAGTAACCGTACAACTTGTCTTAACGGAGAGTCTTACATCAGACTTGCATATATATATATATATATATATATATATATATATATATATATATATATATTTGTGTGTGTGTTTATGCAGGTATTAAGTTGCCTAAAGAGAAGGATTTGACTCTAAGAATATTCTGTTCATTTAAAAGAAAGTGTTAGTAATATATACGATTTCGAAATGTTAGAAAACTGCATAATATGTGT